GCCTCCCCCGTTCACCACGGCTGCGCTCCCCTGCCCACAAGGAGTATATCCAGCGCCCGGCATTCCCCGCGGGTTTGGGAAGGAGTTCGTCGCTGCTGTGTTTTTAAAAGACATTAGAGATGCCTGGCAGCTCGGGTCCTCGTCACCTTCAAAGGGCTTGTTCATCACACAGCCTGGCAGCTGAGAAGACAGATGGGATGTCAGCACAAAGCAGGGAAATAAATAATGCATCAACAGACGCCAGATACTGTCGAACCTGATCTTGAGTGCAACTCCCACTACAGGCGATACAAGTGTTACCTGAGGAAAGGTTTATCTTCTGGCTTCAGGATCTGGCCTGCACCAAAGATGCCAATGCCATTACTTCTACCAGAACACTCAGCATCCCTGATCAAAACCAGAATAAACATCTGGGGAATAAAAAGGGGAGGAAAAGGAAGCAGTTTTTTTATTCACAGAGTGAAAGGGTTCTTTCTCAAGCTATTACTTTTGCTACTCTTTGTGGAGGTGCGCTGGTTTTGGCTGGAATTGAGTTAATTTTCTTCCTAACAGCTGGCATAGGGCTGTGTTTTGGCAATAATGTTGATAACACAGGGATGTTTTAGTGGTTGCTGAGCAGTGCTTACACAGGCCTTTTCTGCCTCACCCCACACCAGCAGCGAGCAGGCTGGGGGTGCAGGGAAGCTGGGAGGGGACAGCTGACCCCAACTGACCACAGGGATGTCCCATACCATACGATGTCATGCTCAGCATATACAGCTGGGGACAAAGGAGGAAAGGGGGGACGTTCAGACATTCAGAGTGATGATGTTTGTATTCCCAATTAACGGTTACACGTGATGGAGCCCTGCTTTCCTGGAGATGGCTGAACACCTGCCTGCCCGTGGGAAGCACTGAATGAATTCCTTGTTTCGCTTTGCTTGCATGCATGGCTTTTGCTTTACCTGTTAAACTGCCTTTGCCGCAACCCATGAGTTTTCTTGCTTTTACTCTGCCACTTCTCCCCCCCAACCTGCTGCAGGGGGAATGAGCAAGGGGCTGTGTGGGGCTTAGTTGCCAGACGGGGTTAAACCACAATAGAGGGTTTAATACATTTGTTTCTGGCCCATTTGTCACCTTCTGTTATTAAACTGCCTTCACTCATGTGTGAGTGACTCCCCTGGTTTCTACCACTGTAGAGAGGTGGACGTGAACTACACCATACAAACAGCAGAGTGCTACAGGGTCAGCACGAGTGGAGGTTTCATCCACTAATTCTATGGATGCGTAAATCTGCAAATATTAACTTGTCAAAGCTGTCAGGTACATACACCTACTTAGTTTGTAACACCAGTGCAGCAGCAGAATATATTCCAGCACCTTAGAAATTACTCCCAGCTATCCTGACCAAAAGAACGACTGCCAGCCATGGCAGCCAGAAACTGCTTGTGGGCAGAAAAGTAGCACCTAAGCAGGTCAACATGAAGTGAAAAATGTTGTTTTTTCAGCTATGTGATACCCAAAATCCTTCCCATAAGGAGTAAATTTTTAGCAGACTAACTCATGTAGCTTTTCAAAGGTGTATAGGAGCCACAATAAAAATTCAGACAGGGATATAAAAAGTTTTCTTTCTATGAAGCACGAATGTTAAACTGTACACTGCAGTAACTTTTAAATGTCAAAAAGATTTTTAAAAAGTGTAGTATTCAATAATTGCACAAAATGGTATTAAAAAATTGCAATATTTTAAAATTAAAAGTGTACTTAATGTGTTGATTCACAGTAAGGAGAACTCTTTTGTAAGCTGAGTATTCTTATCTTTGCCCCATTATTTTACTTGATCAGTTTTCTCTGCACGAATGTACAAATCAGGTCACTGCCTTGAATACAGCAATCCATCCAGCAAAACAGGTTTCAGAGTAATCCACCAACACAGCTAAAGAGTAATAGCAGAGTTCTTTCAAAAAAGTGGTCTCGTTGAGAAACCAGCCCCTCACAGCACCCAGTACTACAAACTAACTTCTCACTTCAGTTAGAGAAACTATTTACTTTTTAACAGCTAAAAACTGTAATTCATTACTGAAGTGCAAAATGAAGTAACTACTCTTTCTGCTACATCTGAACAGTCATTTTTGTTTCTCTGGGGATAGTTCAACCTGAACCATACCTGGAACAATCTGGATAGAGGAGAAAAATATTTGTTAAAACAGTGTTGCATATTTTCAGTGTCCAGGCATATACTCACAGAATGTTAAAAAAGAAGATCTGTATGTTGAGTCCAGAAACAAAGTTGGACACTATCGATTCCTATATTTTAAAACAATAGTGGTTCTCACTCATCTTCTTATGTATTCAGTTTTTTGGTCCGTATCTGAATCTGATGAGTCACTTTCAGCAGAAGAACGAGAAGAATTTTGCCATTCACAGGAGCCATTAGCACAGCGTGGTTTCTGCACACTTTCTGTGTCATCCAGGAGTTTTGCTTCAAAAGCATGAGTACATTGCCAGTCAACTGTATCTTCTCGGGAAGAAAGAAGAGCTGCAGAACTATCCATGTTCTCTTCAGAGGCTCCCAACAGCACAGTTTCTAAGTTAATAGTAAAGCAAGCACTGTTCCTTCGCCTAGAAGAATAGTTACAATTTACCTCAGAGAAAGGATTAAGTAACTCACTACTTGTGTCTTTGTCTTCTTCAATGTCCGCCTCATGCTCTTCAAAATCTTCTGGGTCAGCGTCTGGATTTTCACTTGCCTGGCTGCTGCTGTCATCACATGTACTATTTGTAGAGTACTGCACAAATGCATTTGGCGTGTCAGAGGAGCGAGGTACTCTACTTATGATATCACGCTTTGTATAGTCATGATTACTTATGGCATCGCTGTCACTGTCATCTTCTTCACTGAGACCACCACTGGATTCATTTGCCTTTTTTTTAACCTCTTCGTAAATGATCTCTACAGAGACTGTTTGTTCAGATTTAAATGGCCAAGGTGAATAGTCTAACCTCCTGATGGATACCTAAAAGAGCAAAGTGAATTTAAAAAAATCAGCTGAATTTGCATACATGCACAGAAAAATATTTTAAAAATATCGCCAATCATGAGGTTGTCAAACAAATAATTCTTTCTGTGCCACATTTTTGACTTTTTCTGCAGACTTCAGAGCAGCTAGGAGTGTTCCCTCTTCTCCATTCCTCTAAACACGGCCACCTCCACTACAAATCAAGGCACATAGCACTGGACAGCCTCGAAGAAATGACACTAGTGCAAGCCGTGTCAGGTATGAAATGTTCTAATTCTAATTTTTGAGAAATTGTTCTAAGACTAAAAGCTCATTTTAGAAATACATCTTAAACCTGAGGGCGAGTCTTGCAACTCTCTGTTAGCTCTTGCAGTTACCATGCAAAAGACAAGCCTTAAATAGATGATAGGTTTTAATGTCCTTTAGAAATGTACCACTTGAAGCAATGAACTATGTAACGTCCCATTTTCTCAGTTTTACGCTGCCTTTCTGAGGACTATTGGATATTCGAAGCATTAGGGGAAAAGTGTTGACAATAAAAAAATTAACCTTAGACACTACTTGGCACAGTCATGTTTAGCAATCTTGGGGATATGAAGGTAATGACATAGCAAAGGACGGAAACATGAGGAAAAAAAGTCTTAGAAAAAGTTGATACCAATCTGCTCTGGATATGTTTGTAGAAAATGGAAAATATTTATGCTGAAAAATCCCATAGAATTAAATGTAAAAGAAGTCAGAGACTATAAAGAAAAGGCAAGCAAAGATGCATAGACACAAGTCCCAGGAATGTTGTTATTTTTCCTTTAAATTTAGTGTCAGTTCAGTCTCTTCTATTAAAATAAAAAATTAGCTGGCTTGGGACTGGCTTCCTCAAGCACTAAAACATGACACTTGATCACAGAAAAAGTCAAAGAAAGATTATTTTATTCAAAATAGTGGAACAATTTGATATATTACCATTACCTTCCTTTCTTCCTTAAGTACTCTCCCTTAATCGTGGACTTTTTTTGCCCATCACTCCATGTGACTACTGAGAATACTTTAGCATTTGGAAGGTGATGTGGGTACTGTTTGCCTTGTGTACATGCTCGTCCTCCCTGCTATCCCCACTCTGAGTAAGTTTTCTTCCAGAGCTATATTGTTTCGTTTCTTTTCCTTTGCTTTTTGTTTGAACTTGCTAGTAACGGTTCTGGAACTAACAACTAGGATACTCTTCTGGCAGGGATGTACCCACACATAACTGCATCCCAATCTACGGTATGAGATACATGTGAAACTGGCAGGTTGGGGACCTATAAGGTATATCTGATTTCAGTACAGAGGATTTTTCCTTTGACTGGGAACCTACTGTTGATGTTACAAAGCAGACTCAGGCTTCCTGAGAAACAATGTGCTTTAAAGACTGCTACCTCAAAGCAGTGTCTCATCTGTACAAGGGTCTTTAATGGTCTGTCCTTTGTCTCCTCGTTGAGGCGAATTGAGAGTAAGTTCTTATTTGTTGTGCATGAGATCATTTCCAACAACCATCCAGATTTTGCAGCCCACTTGAAGTCTTACGGAGATGAGCCAGGGGCTTGTGAGGTAATAGGAGCCAACAGAGAAACACCGGTGAAAGATCTCAAGGGAACCAAAAGATGTTCCTCTAAGGTGACACCGCTGACAGCCCAGCTGAAGTGCATCTACACCAATGCATGCAGCATGCGCAACAAAACAGGAGCAGCTGGAAGTCACTTTGCTGCTAGAAAGCTACAACCTGGCTGCCATTACTGAAACTTGGTGGGATGAATCCCACAACTGGAGTGCAGCTGTCGATGGCTACAGGCTGTTCAGAAGGGACAGGTGGGGAAGGAAGGGCAGAGGCATTACCCCCTGCATCAAGACATGGATAGAGTGTGAAGAGCTGTCTCTGAAGAATAGCCATGATCAGGCTGAAAGCTTCTAGGTGAGAATCAGGGACCGATGCAACCCTTGACCGACCCATCAGCCTCACCTCTGTGCCTGG